AGATGGCTGAGGTTGGAAGGGACCTCTGGAGGGCATCTTGTATCAAATTTGGATGGACCTTTTGATAGAGCAATACAAACAGACACTTTTCTTGCCAGTACTGTGTCCCCTAACAAGAGGCCAGAAAGAACAGCCAATGCAGGTACGGCAACCGTCCTGGACCACAGCTGAACAAGATGCAGAAAATAGGCTCCTTCCTATTTTGTGGCTGTATTTTATTTGTTTAATGCCGCAGGTAGGCCTGAAGCTTTACAGGTTTAGCAAAATAAAGTTGAGGCCCAACAGCTTTGGCAGATTCTACATGTGAAAAGAATAATCATGTCCCACACAGATGAACTAGGAGGAGGGGAAGGGGAAGGACAGACAGAAGCAAGAAGAAAAGTAGCTCGGGCAACTGTCTTTTCCTTCAAGAGGATACAAGGAATTCATACTGCCATGTTATATCAACTTCCATGCTACTTTTTTGTTCTTACTTGTCCTGGTGTCGACTGGGATAGAGTTAATTTTCCTCCTGGTAGCTGGTACAGTGCTGCGTTTTGGATTTAGGATGAGAATAACGTTGATAACACACCGATGTTTTAGTTGTTGCTAAGCAGTGCGTACACCAGTCAAGGACTTTTCAGCTTCTCACGCCCTGTCAGTGAGGAGCTGGGAGGGGGCACAGCCAGGACAGCTGGCCCAAAATGGCCAAAGGGATATTCCATACCATATGACGTCATGCTCAGTATATAAACTGGGGGGAGTTGGCCGGGGGGCAGTGACCACTGCTCAGGAACTGGCTGGGCATCGGTCGGCGGGTGGTGAGCAATTGCATTGTGCATCACTTATTTTGTATATTCTTTTATCATTATTGTTATTATTATTTTCCCTTCCTTTTCTGTCCTACTAAACTGCCTTTACCTCAACCCACAAATTTTACTCTTTTTTCCCGATTCTCTCTCCCATCCCCCTGAGGGGGGGTCAATGAGTGAACGGCTGTGTGGTGTTTAGCTGCCTGCTGGGTTAAACCACAACATTACTTCTACCACTTCATTATTATTTGTTGTTAATCCATTGTTACTTTTTCCACTGTAGCAGCAAAGCTCCTGATGAGAAAACAGTGATGACAAACCTTGACTAGCCAGTACTTACCTTTGCCTTTGGGCTCACTGATCCACATTTTTAGCAAATACTTTGGCCTGCAACTTCTGAATCATTTAAATGACATACCAGGTAATATCTCTCTTCACATTGCTCCATCTTAACATTCTGCTCCTACATTTTTAAAAGTACGGTTTAATGGTTCTCAAGTACTAATTCAAAAACAAATTTTCAATGCAGAAATTAAAAACAATCTGAAAACAGATTATGTATCATTATCCCACCTGGCAGAATGCAACAAACATCATAAACCTATCTCGCTCACAACACAGTAATGCAGCTAAAAATGGTCTTAGTGCTCTTAAAAGAAAACTTCTATTCAAGAAACAACTTACCATAGTTGTAAGAAAAAGGTATAATTTACTGCAGCACAGCCCTGCCTAGAATGCTGGCTGAGGTTTCCATGGTTAACCTAAATTAAAATCAATTCCATATTTTTTGGCAGAAGGTCTATAAGCTAATTTTCATCTTTTCTTCTTCAACTATAATTAAAAACATAGGGAAAAGACTTCATATGCCTCAAGTATGAAGGTACATTACAGTAGATATTTTTGTTTTTAAATGGCTACAATGCTCACCTTAATCAAGTCAAAATTAAGTGGGAAAGTAGAATGTCATTATTGCCTTCTTGTGATTATAGAGTTAACAATAAATATACCCCACGCCTACAGGGGAATAACACCCTGCATGCTAGACTTGGTTGCTTGTTCTAAAAGGAAGTGAACCTTAATGCAGATTTGATCTGTAGTCACCATACACTACTGTCGCAAGAATTACTAATCAGTAACTCAGAAACAACAGCAAAAAGCTTTTTACAGCAATATTTGAAAGATATTCATAATAAAGATGTGAAGTGTATAATATCAAAGGGAAACATAATTGCATAAAATGAACAGGAGTTTGGCTTCCATTTACATGCAAAATCTACTTTGTCCATATAATAAGTGAGCAGATACGTTCAATGTGAGAGAAGTGTACAAGTGGTACAGGTCTCTCTGGATGTGGAGACAGGACACAAGATGCTTCCAAAAGAGTCCTCTCAGCAGATTAAAACCACCTTGATTCCATAAAGGTCTTCTGATGACTTCCCAGCAAGCTCAAAGGCACGACATCATATTATAGACAGCTTTGGCAAATAATCTCTCTTTGTGGCATTCTGCGTTAGATAACTCAATTTCACCGCTGGTGGACGAGGTACAAATCTTTATTTTGGAAATGTATTTGGGGAGGTGGGGAAGAAAAGCAAAGCATGGTGGCTTTTCCCAAGGCCTGTTCAAACCCAGTGGTCTCACCCCCTTTCCCATCCTTCTCATCCTTAAAGACTGACACTCCTAAGCAAAAAAAAAGGCTTTGTGTGGAAATAATAAGCATGTGCCGTGTCTGTTCTGAAAGATACTAGCCTAGCTTTGTGAACAGCACTGACTCCAAAGTCAATCCTGTAACCACTCATCAGTAGACCATTTGGGGAAGGAATGGGTAAAATAAGGCAGGGGGATCTATTTTGCATTTTTAATTCGCCACTGGCAAATAGAAACCCTCACTTAAAGTAGAGGAGCTTGCTTTGAGTAATTTTAAAATATACAAACAGAAGCAACCCTATTAAAAGTCTTAAAATTACATTTATTCAGTCAATATGAGAAGAAAGAATTCTATTACTTGGAAAGTGCTTTTCTCACTCTCACCTTTCAACCATTATTCACGTACAACCAAAATCACATCTTAATAAATTCCATTGGCCTTCATTACATACCATCCAGCATTATTTATTTTCATATCGAATCGTTAGTGTACAGGATAGCTGAACACTTCACGGAGAGAGCTGATTGTGAATTAAAGAGGAGGGGCAACTTTCAGTGTGAAAATTCAAGAGGGGAAAAAGATCCCCAAGTTAGATGTGGAAGGACCCAGAAACAGAAGGCTGCTTATCTTCAGTAGGTGAAAAGCAATGGCTGGAACAGGGGAAACAAAGTGGAAAGTGAGAAATAACAATGCTCAAAGATTGCAGCTGTGTGAGAAGACCATGGAACAAGCAGATGAAAGCACATAAGATGAAGCAAGTTCATCTGAACTAGACTCATGGGCATTAAGCAAGCCAGAAATAGCAACAGTGCACAGGGGGAAAACTGTTCATTTTGTTAAAGAGAGGGCTAGGAGTTAAATTTTCTCATCTGCCACAGGCTTTCTGGTTAGTGGTGGGGATGTCACTCAGTCTGTGCCTCAGTTCCTCATCCATAAAGCAGGATGCTGTACAGAAAAGCCACAAATGGTTCAGGGGACAGGCAAGCGATAAGGGTAAGATGAACCTACACAGACAGCTATACCTAACAGATCCCTGATGAAGAAAAAAGGGGAGAGAGAGAAAGAGACTGGCTGTAGTGACCTGATCTACCTGAATTTTAGAAAGAAACACAAATGTTACAGACCATGACAGATGGATGTACAACTACAAGAAGAGAGATAAACCTCTGACCGTAAAAGCCTGGAGAGAAAGAAAAATTTCGCCAAGTAAGAAGGGTGACAAGGCACAGACAGATATATTCAAATGACAAGGCTGACTAAAATTAAGAGCAGAACGAATATCTGAATGTACCCTCAAAGGAATGCTCTCTAATTTCAAGGAGGTGTTATTTGGGCACCAGCCACTGCTATGAACAGTGGGTACAGTCTATTCCTATCAAATATACAGAAGAAAAGCATGGGAAATTTATAGACAGGAAGAAATAGGGTTCCTGCTTGGGGGTGGAAGAAGGGAAGGGGTGGGAAATTCCTTCAAATATAGAGAAAATGGGGAAAAGACCCTTGCCACACACAACTTCAGCCTAAGAAGCTTGCACACTGGGATTCTTCCATTCAGATGTGAGTTACAGGCAGAACGGAGAACGACTGGTACAAGTGGTTATTAAATAAGATACAGGTAGTCACAAGATGAACCTCATGTACCAAAAGAAGCAAGCAAAGGAGACAAGCAGCCTGCAAACAGACTGTCTGGTTGCAGAGAGGATCAGAGGGGCAGAGGAGACAGACAGCTGATCAGAGATGAAATTTTCCCCGAGGGCACAAACAACTCTCCTGAATACATGTGAGTTTATCTGAGCAGATTTGAGCATACAAAGGGGCCAGGAGGAAGCAGGGGATGGATGGCACTGAGGCAGCGTGCGGTCAGTGACAGTATTTCCTTGTAAAATGCTGAGAAACTGCTGGAAATCTTTACTATCCCTCTGGCCATTCCTCTCTCATTATTTATTCTAACCAGTACTTGAAAATGAGCTTTTTAATATATATGTGTATACAGATAAGTAAAATAAATAACCAACAGCATATGCATAGGTTCTTGCTAACCCCGAATTCATTCTTTGCTATTTGTTATTTTCAGAGTGGTATGACAAAGCAACACGTTAGCTGCGGGAGGCATGTCCCTGTCCCAAGTAGCCTGCTCCTGCCTTAGAATGTCTAAAAACACAAAACAAACCGTGGGTGGGAGAAAGCAAATCACGCTGTCCCCATGTTACAGACTGAGAACAAGGAAGAGAGCTAGCAAGTGATTTTCCCAGGATTTCACAGGAGGTCAGTGGCAAAACTGGATATTGAAAGCCTCTCTCTTCAGCATCCATCTGGTGCCTCAGTCACAAGGGCATTGTGTCTCTCTTAAGGACATTCTCTTTCATCCTCTGAGTGTCCTGGTAAGAGGAGTCTTTGACTGAAATGTATATAGTGAGTTTATACACCTTCAAGTTTCATCGAACCATGTTGTACTTTTTTCCCCTCTCTATTTCCAGCTACCTTGCAGTCACTTTTGGTCTGACCTCAAATTAACAGTACTACCACCTCCATCCACAAAGCCAACCTTTCTATCTACTTACAGTTCTGTTGGTGAAGTTACTGAAGTCTGTCACTAAGATTTGCTTGATCATCTCTGGTGTGGAGACCACCACAAACATCTGGCGACCAATGTAGTACCTACAAAGAAAGAAAGTAGAGAGTCATTTTAGCAGATAATGTCAACCAGAGAACCGTCACCTTCCCTAAAATACCTCGGTTGGCTTGAAAACACTTGCCATGAATAAATATCACAGAAAATATATTCCCTTGGGTAAATCAATATCTTTCCCCATCTCTCTCAACTATTAAACTAAGATGCATGGTCCTGGAATTTAAAAGAAACAGCTTAAAACCTTTTACTGACTAATCAAGACTCAGCGAACATTTTAACATACAGGTTTATACACTCTATGGCTCACTGTGAATTCTGTACAAAGCGATGTAGTACCACTAAACCAATCTACAGAGGGGCAAAACATTAGCAACCAACAATGCAAACAATCATGGAAGACCTACAAAATCGATTATCCTGCAGTCAGCCACATGAAATGTCTTTGCATGGCAAAGCCCTGTCTACACAGAGCCTTTCCAGAAGTCCCCCCAGCGTGGCTGCAGTAAAGGCACATTTCCACCACTTCTACTAGCACTGAAACTAGCACAGACCCCAGGCTCTGCATTACCACAAACGTAACCATCTAAACCTTACATTGCATCAATGAGGAAAAAAAAAAGAAACAAAAAAGAAAAAAAAAAGGTTCACCAAGTATAAAGAAATGAATAAAACTTTAGAAGAAGTCTGGGTGATAGGGGTCTCTCACTCTCTGCTCGTACACCCTCTATCTCCCGCTTCCAGTTTGATCTGATCTTTGGAGCAAGGGTCTGCCCTTGGGGACTTCACACCATTGTGGATGCCGCAGAGGTACTGGGACCCACCCCAACCCCACAACTCCTAGGGATGCAGGGCTCCCTTCTCCAGCAGCATTCCCCCCCAAGGCCCACGGGCGCTCCGTGCTTGGCTGCTTTGCAGGGGGAGGAAGGAGTACGACCAGCAAGCAGAGGTTGCCTGCAGTCCCTACCTTTGCCAATTGCTGGACCAGAAAGACTATGCAGGCGGCACTGCCATTGTTCTGCCAGGAGAGAGGAAGAGGATGCTGGAGGCAGGCACAGGAGGGCAGCTCAGAGCAGAACACAAGAGCAATACCACAGATGCTGCAATACCATGGTAATATCAATGCCTAATCATTTTGGGGATATAGTTTAGTACCAATACATTGCTTATCACCTGTCTACATTGCAGCAACAGAACAGACAAGCAAACCCTGGGCTGAATTAAATTTAGTAACTGGAGGTTCCCATGGCAATGAAGCTGCAGCAGCACTGATTTCAGCAGGGGCAAACAAGTCAGACAAGTATCTTGATTCCAAAGCAGGGTTTCACAGTCCACCTTGAACCCTGTACCACCAAAACTCATAACAAACAAATGGCAGAGAAGAACAAGAAAATAATTTTCTTCAGGAAGGAAGAGATCTTCTTTTCTTCTCTGGTGGGTTTCAAGAGGGAACTGTTATTTCCCAAATCCAACCCACAGGCTCCACTTGAACCTTAGATACAGGTTGTACGTTCTATTAAAATAAACCTTTTTCACCTCTCCCAGTTTGCTAAACCACAGCAAAGTAGCTGTCTGTTAATGGTCAAACTTTTCTTCAGAATCCTAAGAGGTGCATAAGAAAGAGCTGAGGACTCATTTCAAAGAGTGCTTTGATCACAGTCTTTGGCAAAAGAGGATAATGCCCTACATGCCCCTTCCCCATGTACAACTTGTACAATTTCTCTGGCATTAGAGAGGCAAAGCAAGCTCCCACGGCGATGACCTGTGCTGCTCCAAACCTACCCAGCATGATCAACCATGAATACTGACCTCTCACACTCACACCTTGCTTTTCTCTTCTCCTCTCCAAGTTTACCAAGTTTCTTGTCTCATTTAATGGTTAGTGACTGATGGTCCTCCAACAGACAGCTTTTCATAGGGACCAAATCCCTAACACCAGATTCCAAATCCGAATCAGAAGCTGATTATGTCTACCCAGACAGCTTAACCCTGACCGCCAAGAGGCACTACATGATACATCATGCAAAGCACATGGGGGGGTGGGGGGTGGGGTGGGGGGAGAAATTTCTAGTTTATTTCAAACTTGGGAAGTTGCAGAGCTCCAGCTCCAGTCCACGGGAATAACAGGACAGTACTCACAGTCGGAGCCCTTATATCATAGTACACTTTGTGCTTGAAAGCATTCAAGACTAAAATTTGGGACAGGAGCATCTCCTACTCAAGTTGCTTTTATGAGAAAGTGACTCACAAGCCAAGTTTATGCAAACAAATCTATTCATCATCCTCCAACTCAGACCAGTCACCCAAACTCCCAGTTCTGCTTCCACAGCTAAGCTCTTTCTTTTTTATTTACTCTTCTCTAACTTTCTATCTATAGGCACCTGTTTTTCCCTTCCTTATCCAGTTATAAATAAGGGCAGAGAAGGACAAAGAAGAGAAGGGAAGAAAATCTCCTAAAATTAATAAACTGAAAATACTGAAAAAATATCTTAAATTGCTTTTTAAGCAAAGTTCTGCCTGCTTTTAAGGAATGACTGCTGTAAAGCGCACACAGACTACCATCTTTTATTGCATCCCAGACAGTAAAAGCTCTCTCCCTGGCTTTTTTCCATTCTCCTACTTTATGTACATAATCTTTCTAACCTTTTCTGGGACACAAGAAGAAGAAGGTGCATATGGACATGCTTTGGAAGTCAAAATCCACAGGCTAGGAGCATGACTTCCATGATCTTCTCCTGAAGTTAAGGAAAAAGGACAAGAACAGCTAAGTCTGAAACAAGATCGTCTGAGCTATTCCATTTAGCAAGCACAGGTCCAGAACCTGCAAAGCCACCAGAAATATGCTTAACTAAGTTTTAACATATTTAAAATCCTTTGCAGAATCAAAGCCTCGGTCACAAACCAAGAGGATATCTCCCGACTAGAAATTTTTTTTTTTTTACTTGTTCCGAAATGACAAGAAAAAGGTAAAATCCTCCTGAACAATAAGCTATTCTTCCCAAATAAATAACATATTCACCCCTGCCATGTAACTTCATTTTGATTCTGTATTACTACACGAGGATATCACCAGCCTCACATAGGCTTAGATTTATTATTGAACAAAACCCGATATTCTTGTCAGATTTTAATAAATAAGAGTTTGAGAAAAACAAAAGCCTCCCGGCAAGTGCATTACAAATGGATTCATGAATAATTTAGGACAGCACTTTTTATTAACTTTCTCTAGGTTAATCTTTTCACAGGGCTTGTCCACACACAGAAGTCCTACCTTTAACTACAGTGATACAGTACCATTACACTGCTTGACCCAACCCTTTGTAATATTTTCATGTAGGGCATTCAGGATGTAATACGATTTCTTGTGACTATTTAGCTCACTCCTGCACAGAAACAAGAACGCATGAATGTAGTATGGCGTCCTCAGAGTGATGCAACTCTGTCCACGTGGGAATCTGTTGTAACACTGCCATACCAGTAAAAATAAATTTCATGACCAATGCATGAATGTGATTTTCAAGTGTAGATGAGGCCTCAGTTATGCCATTAGGGCAATTTCTACTAAATTTCAGTTTAAACCGCAGCCCTACAAAATAGAGAAAAAAATCCACATGTTTAGACCAGCAGCTTTAGCTCCATTGCAAGGTGAGACAGGAAAGACCTGGTACCACTACATCAACAGCATGAGGACAGCGTTAGCTTCCTCCAGCAGATGAAAGGGTGGACGAGAAGCTGTCGCCCCAGTGCGCTGCCGGTACAGAAGCGGGCAGCTGTGTGCTGCACCGTCCCCAGAAGGGCTAGGCAAAAAGTTTTTTCAGAAGCATTCAACGGAGGGCATGGATTTAGTCCCACAAGTTACAAAAAAGGCAGGCTGCCCTCCAGTGTGTTTACCAAAGGGCTCGCAGGTGAAGGCGGCTACAGTATATTGAGCAAAAGAAGTCAATCTGCATTCAGAGTGTTTTAATAACTTAAGAGGCTACAAACACCCAACACACTCAACTGCAGCAGTTTGGTGCATAAGAGCAGACAAGCATCACTCTTAGGGCAATTAATGAAAGGGACAGAGAATTCTGCCTCGTGTTCAGGTTTCACCCAGGATGTTGCGGTCCTCTTGGCAAATATTTAGTCATTTAGTAAACGCGTATTTTCTTTCATCGGCAAGAATAAGCAGCAATCCAGCAATGATTTCTGCTATTTTGCGTGTGCCCCACCATTGCTTTCTGCAGAGGTGTGTCTCAGGTGTCCCAACCCACACCTAGTGCCTGCCATGGCCACAGAAGTTACCCCATGGAAGTAAGAGATGCCTGAGAGATGAGCTGCTGAGCCCAACCATGAGCTGAGGTAGAAGCAGTGAGACAAGAGGTAGGTTGGACTGCCCCGTCCCTCCTGCAACACCCAAGCACACCATCTCCCATTCCAACGTTTGCCAGGGACACCACCACACACACCCCAGGAATGCAGATTTCTGCTCTCAGGCGATGTAGCAGATCAGTCAGCTACTTCTAATTGAATGACAAATTTAGCATTATCCTTTCTGTGTCCCCAAGATCGCTCTGGTCACAGTGCATGGTCATCTGCTGCTGACAGCATCCCCCAGGTCCTGAGCCATGGACATGCTCTCTGAGCAAAGCTCACAGCAACGTTGCCTTGCTGCGCATGAAAAGATGGAGTGCGCACGCAGTACATCATGGCAAAGGGCCATATGTTTTTGTGTAACACCCGTGTGGGAAACACCTGCAACCCTTTCACCTTGTTTATAGTGCTGCTGTCAATTCACAGAAGACTTTGATGTCCCTATCTATTATCAGTCCCATGTATTACAAATGCATCACATTAATCATAAAACACATATATGCTGTTAGGCAATAAACAAGGCTTTGTTTTCTATGCTGCAGTCTAGTAAAGTACACAAAGATCATCTGGAAAGCTAAACGAAAATAGAAAATTTTATTATCCCTGTCTTCCTCTGGGAAGAGCAAAGAACAAAAAAAACCCCACAAAACAAAACAGGAAAAAAGGAGAGCTATGC